CACGAATCGATTTATCAGTACAAGATTCATAAGTAACGTGTTATTCGGCATTCTACAATCATGAACCAACTGGGGCAAGGGCAGATTCATTAATCTAGTCGGCCTGAGTGCCCCAGCCGTTCCATGAATCGATTCATCCGTACAAGATTCATAAGTAACGTGTTATTCGGCATTCTACGATCATGAACCAGTTGGGGCAAGGGCAGATTCATCAATCTAGTCGGCTTGAGTGCCCCAGTCGTTCCACGAATCGATTCATCAGTACAAGATTCATAAGTAACGTGTTATTCGGCGTTCTACGATCATGAACCAACTGGGGCAAGGGCAGATTCATCAATCTAGTCGGCTTGAGTGCCCCAGCCATTCCATAAATCAATTCATCAGTACAAGATTCATAACGTGTTATTCGGCATTCTACGATCATGAACCAGCTGGGGCAAGGGCAGATTCGTCAATCTAGTCGGCTTGAGTGCCCCAGCCATTCCACGAATCGATTCATCAGTACAAGATTCATAAGTAACGTGTTATTCGGCGTTCTATGATCATGAACCAGCTGGGGCAAGGCTAGATTCATCAATCTAGACGCCTTGAGTGCCCCAGGCGTTTCACAAATCGATTTATCCGCATAAAATTCATAACGCGTTATTCGATATTTTACGATCATGAACCAGTAGGGGCAAGGACAGATTCATCAATCTAGTCGGCTTAAGTGCCCCAGCCGTTCCACTGAATTGATTTATTTGTACAATATTCATGAATTCATTTTGTTGATGATTAAATCAGATCCCTAAATTTAATCGGCTTTTAAGTCTGCCGTCTCATGTAATCTTGACATTTTGTTCTAACTATTGATTCTCCTAATTATGTGCTCGTACAACAAACAATACGAGAAATAACTTGAGACCATATAAAATTTTTATTCATAAATTGGGCGCTAGCAGCGGACATTTTACATATGAAAATCCAAAAAAGATGAAGGTCAACTAACAAAAAGCATACATTGAAATTGAGAAAAGCCTAACAAAACTGGAATGTCACCCAAATCAAGTCTTAGGATTATACTCAAGTGGCTCAATGTCCACTTGCTCGTATGGAATTGGCATGGCCAATGTAACTCCAGCGGCAGCAAGGGCTTTGAGCCAGCTGTGTCTGAATCCCCGATTCTCAAATTTGGGGACTTCTTCTACGTAGTAATTAAAGGCGGTGCTCTTCCCAACCTCGAATGTCGTGGAAGCCTCAGAGTTCACTTTTTCCTTGGCCTGCTTCAACTCTTCAAACTCGGCCTCCAGTTTCGCAAACGCCTCCTTGGCTAACTTGAGCGATTCCTCGCTCGCATTAACCCTCTCCTCGGCGTCAGATCTGAGTTGATCAGTAGCCCTGGCCCTTTCCTTCTCAGCCTCGGCCCACGCACTTTCCATTGCGGCTCTCATTGCCTCAAACTCCGCTTGCTCCTTTGACCATCGACTTCTGATTGCAAGCGGCCAATCCTTTCAACGCCTTCATGCTGGCAGCGCCCTAATTTGGCGATCCTTCCAACCGTCTACAAAACAAAGGGTCGTCACATTCCAAAAAACATCGAATACAAACCAAACCAACAAAGGAGTTAGTCACATACCATAAGGGCTGACTGAGCAGCTAATGCTACCGTTACCAAATTCGACTCGACACGAAAGGTCGCCTTGTCAGCCGGCAGGGAGACCGAGGCAGCTAAACTCAATGCCACAGCTGTATCTTTCAAAGCCGACGCGTCAGAGGAGATCGGCATGCTTTTTTATCTTTGGCTCAATAAAAAAAGGAGCAACCACAGCCGACTCCTCTAAGCGTGGCCATTTATCAATGGGTCCATCTTTAGAGCCGTCCTTGTCCTCAGCGCTTCGCTTTTCGCCCCGATCCTCCGAAATCGACCGCTTGACATCTTTTTTCGTCTCGGCCATGACAACGTGAGCCGTTTCTTCTACGACAGTAGGTTGAACAGATTCAGTCGGAACATGTCCGAAACGAATGGCCTCGGCCTTTTGTCCGGCGGCCATGTGTTCGGCGTTTCCCTTCCGCGCCATCTGCGTCAGATTTTCCCCAGCCATATCCTTAAAGTAATCGCCGGGAAGGTCTCCCAAGTTTGTAAAAATATCTTCGAAGGCGTCCCCTCGGCCTGAGCTAGATGGAGGGTCAGAAGAGTTCAATCCGGCTTCCTCGAAGGCCGAATTAATGGCTTCGTCAACTTTTGCGGCCAACCGGTCCGGGTTATCGGCGATTGGTTCAGCCACTTGTTCTTTCACGTGTTCAGAATCAGATGATTCTAAGCCGATCTGCCTCAAGTTTTTGAAGCTGGGGAAGATGAGGGCCGTAAGATGGCTGTCACCTCGCGCGATCGAAATATTGTCTGCCGCCGAGAACGTCATGTAAGTTGGCTTTGTACCGTAAGAGAATGTGGGCTGCCCTCCCTTGTTTTTGAAGGTCTAGTCGGCCGACGACCTGTAGCGCAATTTTAATTTCTGCGAGCATAGCATCGTCGCCTAAAACCATTAGATGAATACAGCGCCGAATAAATATTTATGGAAATAACGGAAACAAGTAATGCAATCGGCCACCTGGTTCTCCTTTTTTCCTCGGCACCGGGTCTAGGCGATCTTCGTCTTCGTCGAACTCCTAATAGCCGCGGACAACGACCATCATGTCATCGACACGCTTGCCAGAGCTGGCGAGCATAGTCACTAAGTGATGATCAGTATCCTTGGCTCTAATAAAGTAGCGCCCTAGCCGGCCAATTGATTTGGCTAGGACGTAACAGTGCCAAATGGCGGGAATACCTAAATTGATCTTAAGACGGTGGTTTAGTTCTACGATCCCCATTATGATGCGAAAGAAATTCACGTTGGGCTGGGAAGGATTAGACCCGAGTATCTAAGAACGACCCTCAAAAGTGGGTGAAGAGGAAAGCAGACTCTGCCTTCAGCAATTGATAGGAGAGGAAAGATGATTGTGCTCTCATCTTCCCTTTGCATATCAGTGGTGCTGTCTGCCAAAAGTGACAAATGGACGTCATCAGGGATGGAGAAATGGCGTTGAAAACTGGAGATTCGATTCGCCGAAATGAACTCTTTCAGATGCTTTGCCATTTTTTGGCCAAACCCAAGGATTACGGAAAGTTAAAAGCAAGTAAGGAAGCGGGATCAAAAATGAAGGAGGAGAAGACTTACAGGAGACAAAGGGAGAAGCAAGAAACAAGGAGTTGTAGAAGCCGCAAAGAGACAGAGTTTGCACTAGAGGGCGAACAAGATATCTTTTGAATATTCAGGACATACACTCAAAGAGACAATTTCAAATCATATTAAATGGAAGCAGTGTACGAGGGGGCGGGAAGGCGCTACAATGACTAAGAAGCATGTGCGCATTCTGACACGCATTGGAAAGAGGGTTAACTGTCGAATTTTTGACTTCCCAGGCTAGAAGCCAAACACGCCGACTAACTGATGCTCGTAGGGTGTTTGGGGGCCAATTGTGGGAACCGAATTCATCAGATCCATGGGGACAGATAAGCGTGCCCGGTCCGAAACGTAATCTCTATTTGGCACATACCCCAATGAATCAAGGAGCCGAATAGAATAACCAGTACCTCAGCTAGTAGAACAGATGTCGAGTAGAGGTACATGTAACGGAACAAGGATGGGCCCAGCCCAAAGGCCCAAAGAGAATACTATAAATACAAGATCTTCTGTTCTAGAATGGTATATGAGAATTATTAAGCTTAACTTAGAATACAAGTAATCTTGAGTGCAGAGACTAACTTGCCCGTCGGAGTGCTAATTCCGGCACCCTCGACCGGAGTGTTTGTTCCTTTTCAGGTGACTAGCAGAGGATCATGAGCGTCCTCCAGGATCAAAAGAGTATTTCCAAACTACTTCACCACAATCATCTACACAAACAAGACAATATGATTTACCACCAAGACTTAAAGTTCTAGATGGTCCAAACAAGTCAATATGCAACAATTAAAGAGGTCCAGAAGTGGAAATAATATTTTTGGATTTGAAAGAAACTCTTGTTTGTTTTCCTTGTTGACAAGCATTACAAAGTCTATCTTTTTCAAAATCAATCTTTAGTAAACCAACAACCAAGTCAAATTTTAAAAGTTTTGAAAGCAAGTCCATATGAGCATATCCTAGCCTTCTATGCCATAACCAACCAAATTCATTTATAGCAGATAAGCACTTAACATCATGATTAGGAGATAAACTATGCAAATCAAATACATACACATTTTCATGCCTATGACCAACAAAAAGCACTTTGTTATCAGCAAAATTTTTAATGGTGCTGTGGGATTTTTCAAAAGTGACATGATTTCCTTTATCACACATTTGACTAATACTAAGCAAGTTATGTTTCAATCCTATATTCGATAATGGGTGAAGAAGTTTTACCAATACTACAATCGCCAATGATTTTTCCTTTATTATTGTCTCCGAAGATTACATGACCTCCTTCTTTGGATTTAAGGGTTGAGAACATTGCTTTATCACTGGCCATGTGCCTTGAGCACACACTGTCGAGGTGCCACCAGTTGTTGCTGGATTTTGACCTAAAGCACACCTGCAAAAATCAAATTTTTGTTGACCTTTTGGTACCCATTCTTTCTTGGGTCCATGAGAGTTAGGATTTGAAGTGTTTTTGAGAACCTACTCCTTTTTCATTCTAACAAATGAGTTTCTCTTAGCAGGACATGAAGGAGATATGTGACCTTTTCTTCCACAATAATGACATGTGAGATGAGAATGGTTAGATGATGCATGAACAAAGGTCTTTTTGAAATTTTTTGCTTTTAAAAAAGGTTTATATCCAATCCCCATTTTTCCAAAGGTTTGATTTTGACTTTTGAGAATTTTATGTAAGGTATCTCTACCTTGAGTGAATTTTGAAAGAACATTTTTTTAAGTCTTCTATGTTTTCATCTAAAACAATTTTCTCATTTTTCAAAGTTTCATTTTCTTTTTGTAAATCATCTACTTTCTTTTCAAAGATGGAAGATCCTTTTCAGTTGAAACTTCTTTCTCCTTTTCCATTGACAAAACTTTATTTTCTAAAGTATTGATCTTAAAAATCAAGGATTCTTTTTCTTGTGATAAACTTAAAATCATTTTCTTTTGACAATTACTTTTCAATCTTAGTTTTTTAAATTCAGCATGCAATTCATCGAAAACAGTTTGTAATTCATCAAAAGTAAAGGATTCATCATTTACCTCATTTTCATCTTCAAGTGCCATCAAGCATAGATTTGCGACTTTATTTTTGCAAATATCAGTCTCTGAGTCGTTGTCGTCATTGTCTTCTCCCCATGTTGCGATCATGGCCTTCTTCTTGGCTTTCTTAAATTGTTTCTTGAGCTCCAAACATTCCGATTTGTAGTGTGCTGGTTTGTTGCATTCATAGCAAGTAACTTCAGATTTTTTATGATTTTCTTTTTTTTTTTTTTTGAAAATCTTTATTGAAGTCTTTTCTGAAGAACTTCCTTACACCTTGTTTCTTCTTCATGAACCTTTTGAACCTCTTGGTAATGAATGCCATTTCTTCATCCTCCTCTAAAGCATCTTCTTCTTCATCTTGAAATTTTGAGGTAGACTTGAAGGCTATCCCTTTCTTCTTGTTCTTGTCTTTTTGTTCTTCTCCTTCTTGCATAATGAGCTCATAGGTTAGGAGAGATCCCATTAACTCATCAAGGTTTAATGTTGATATGTCCATTGCTTCTATCACTGATATAACTTTGGTCTCCCAGTTTTTTGGCAATGATCTAAGCATTTTTCTGACAATTTTTGCATTAGTATAAGTCTTCCTAAGAGATTTTAGATTATTTATAATATCTGTAATGCAGGTGAATATTTGGGATATGTTCTCATCAGGTTTTATCTTGAAGAGCTCATAGTTGTGAACAAGCAAACTAACTCTAGACTCTTTGACTTGAATAGTTCCTTCATGAGTTACAATAAGTTTATCCCAAATTTCTTTCACCATTGTATAAGTGCATATTCTGTTGAACTCAACAGCATCAAGTGCACAGTACACGTTAACAGATTTGGCATTGGCTTCGATATCTTTATAATCAGCACTAGTCCATTCACTCTCAAGTTTGGGAACTAACATACCATCTATGGTTTTGGTGGGGACTTTGGGACCATCACAGATGATTTTCCAAACCTCATAATGGATAGATTGGATATGCATAATCATATAGGTTTTCCAATAGTTGAAATTTGTGTAATTGAAGAAGGGTGGTCCGTTCGAGGCTTGACCCTCAAGAAGAGAGGAGCTAGGGGTTGACATAGATTACTCTAAGACGGTTAAGTCACAAAACTAAAGACGATGCTCTCATACCAATTGTTACACAGGAAAGTAACCCAAGAGGGGGGTGGATTGGGTAATTAAAAAATATGATAAGAAAATAGATTTCAAATGACTAAGTATTTAAATGTAGCAGACAAAACAATTAATACACAGAGAAATAAAAGAAAAGGAAAGAAGAGCTCAAACACAAGGATTTATAGTGGTTCGGCTGATCACCAACCTACATCCACTCCTCAAGATACCTCCTTGAGAATTTCTTCACTATGAATCAATGCACCACCAAGCTTCACCTAGCTTATGGATTTTTGCAAAGGACTTACTTCCATCTGTTGAGGACCTCTCAACTAAATGCCTCACTTTACAAGTGTATCACTTAGAAAATAAGGAACAAGAATAAGAGGTACGACTATCATCTTTTACAAATTTTCTCTCTAAAAAGATGGATGTGAAAATGTAAGCACATAGGGAATTTAAGGCTCACTCAGATATGAAAATGGAAGTACAATGGAGCATATTAAAGACTCTTGAATGCTCTGGGTCTCTTGTATTGAAGAAGTGTGTCTATAGAACAAGGAGAGCTTCTTCTTTATAGCATTAATGGCTTTTAGCTATTGAAGAGAAGCAGATTTGAATCTTTTAGCCATTGGAGCAAATCATGGAGGATATCTTCCAGCTGTGTTGATTAGAGCATGGTGTATACAGACTATAAACAGGTCTTAGGAAGAGAAAGATGATTAAATGCACAAGCTTTTCATTAAATGCTCACCTTCATAAGTTAACTCTTGGTAGAAGATATAATGTCAGAAGATCTGCTCAGCGATAAGAAATTATGACATATTCAACGACGAATGTGTCATGGCTTGCTGTTATATATGTGACTCTATGCCCTTTCTATTGCAGATCAACTATCACAATGAATACAAATAGCTGGCATAGGTTTTGGCCACATTGGAATGTCTTTTAAGAAGTGGCAAAGCCATTCTGCTTTGTCTCTTGCTTTGTCTGAAGTAATGAACTCAGATTCCATTGTGGATCGTGCGATGCATGTTTGTTTCGTGGATTTCCAAGAAACAGCTACGCCCTTTAGAGCAAAGACATACCCGCTAGTAGATTTTGAATCTTTAGTAGCTGATATCCAATTTGCATCACAATAGCCTTCGAGTATTGCTGGATATCGAGTAAAATTTAAGCCATGATCATGTGTAAATCTCCGCTATCTAAGAACCCGGATAATCTCTTTCGGGATTATTAGTGTACCTACTCAATTTATTGACAACATAAGCTATATCAAGATGTATGCAATTCATTAGATACATTAGGCTACCAATGATTTGGAAGTATTTTAACTGAGACACCGCATCACCTTTATTTTTCGATAAATAAAGACTGATGTCTACGAGTGTTCTTGCGGCATTCACATCATCCTTGATATATTTACCAAGAACTTTCTCAATATAATGTGATTGAGAAAATGTATATCCATTAGATGTTCTAGTAATTTTCATTCATAGAATAACATCTGTTACAACCATATCTTTCATATCAAATCTTTTGCTCAGCATTTGCTTGGTTGATTTGATCATATTATGATTGTTACCAATTACAAGCATGTCATCCACATAAAAACAAATTATGACATATCCTTTGTCAGTGTTTTTAACATAGACACATTTGTCACATTCATTTATCTTGAATCCATTAGTTAGCATAACATGATCAAATTTCTCAAGCCATTGCTTAGGAGCTTGTTTTAATCTGTAGAGTGATTTTACAAGCCGACACACATTCTATCCTTTCCCTTGCACTACAAACCCTTCGGGTTGCTCCATATAGATCTCTTCATTTAGATCACCATTTGAGAAAGCTGTCTTGACATCCATTTGATGTATCTCTAAATCATACAATGCTACTATAACAATAAGCATGCAGATGTATGTTATTCTTGTCATAGAGGAATATGTGTCAAAATAGTCCAGATCTTCTTTTTGTCTATAACATTTTATCACAAGTCTTGCTTTATACTTGTCTATTGAACCATCTGCTTTAATTTTTCTCTTGAATATTCATTTATACCCAAAAGGTTTAGAATCGGCTGGAAGATCCACTAATTTCCAAATATGATTTTGCATAATGGATTCAATTTCACTATTAACAACCACTTTCCACAAAGGTGCTTCAGGACCTGACATTACTTCCTTAAAGCTTCGAGGCTCTCTTTCTAACAGGTATGTTAGAAAATATGAACCTAAGGATTTTGATGTTCTCGCTCTTTTTTACTGCATCTTGGTTCAGCATCTGTTATTTCCTGTTGGTCATGACTAGTACTAGTCTTTTGTTCTTGATTATCAATAGTATCGTGACCTTGTGTAGAATCTTAAGTTTTTTTTTCTGTGAACTTAATTCCTGTCTTTTCTTATGAGGAAAAACATGTTCAAAGAAAATGGCATTCCTAAACTCTATAATAGTATTTACATGTATATCAGGTATTTCTGACTTATGAGTCAAAAATTGATATGCGTTACTATTATGTGCATAACTAATAAACACACAATCAACTGTTTTTTGTCCTATTTTAGTCTTTTTAGGAACAGGAACTTCTACTTTTGCTAGACACCCCCACACTTTTACGTATTTGTAGGAAGATGGTCGACCTTTCCATAATTCATAAGGAGTGCTGTTAGTTTTCTTCTATGATATCTTATTGAGGACATAATTAGCAGACAAAATTGCTTCCCTCTACAAGTTTTGTTGGCAGCCTGAACTTAGTAACATGGGATTCATCATTTCTTTAAGGGTTCTATTCTTTCTTTCAGTAGTTCCATTTTGCTGTAGGGGATAAGGTGCTATAGTTTGGTGAATAATGCCATGTTTTGCACAAAATTCATTTAAAGGTGCATTATATTCACTATCCCTATCACTTCTAACTATTTTAATGATTTTACCAAGTTGATTTTCAACTTCAATTTTATAGAGTTTAAACATTTCCAAGGTTTCATCTTTACTTCTAAGTAAACATACATAACAATTTCTTGTGCAATCATCAATAAATGTTATGAAATACTTTTTTCCTCCTCTAGTTTGAACAAATTTAAGATCACGCAAATTAATATGAATTAATTCTAGAGGTTCGATTTTTCATTCAATCGATTTAAATGGAGCCTTAGTTAGTTTTGCTTTTCCACATATCTCACATTTGTGATTAGGATAAATTCCAAACTTTGGTATACAATCCAAACCAATTAGTCTACACAAAGCATCAAAATTCACATGTCCTGATATACCATGCCATAAATTTAACTCAAGAATATAAGCAAAAGATATGTTATTCTTATTAATAACAGATTTTGGTACAACAGTCATTACATTCAACTTGAAAAGACCATCGCTCATGTATCCCTTACCCACACATATACCACTCTTTGTTAATACAAACTTATTAGACTCAAATATAAGCCTGAAGTCATTTTTACTTAACAAAGAACCAGAAACTAAATTCTTTCGGATGTCTGGTACATGCAACACGTTATTGAGGGTAAGTTCCTTCCCCGATGTCATCTTCAAGATAACTTTCCCTTGTCCAACTACAGCAGAAGTAGATGAATTTTTTATGAATAGTTGTTCACCATTTGCAGCCTCATTATAAGTAGTGAACATCTTTCTGTTTGCGCAAATATGTCGAGTTGCTCTAGTGTCAACCCACCATTCTTTGGGATTTCCAACCAAATTAGCTTCGGACACCAAAACAGAAAGATTGATGCCATTTACCCTGTTAGAGATGTAATCTAGTTCTATCAAATTGGCTTGATTGGTAGTCTTTTTGCTTGTACTTCCGAGATCCTTCTTAGGGCATCTGCAATTAGAGGCACGATGCCCAATCTTGCCACAATTATAGCATTTTCCTTTGAACTTTTTATTGCCATTGCTATTGTTGGTATTTTTCCATGATAATACCAGAAAAATATATGAAATAAATTAAATAGAAATGAAAAATCAATTATTGTTATTATAATTATTATTATTATTAAAGAATGAAATATACAATAAATTACCCTAAAAATGAGGGGGGTTTGGGGTTTAAATCTTTAGAAATCTGGAATAAAGCTGCCATTGCCAAGCACATTTGGTTTCTCTTTTTTGGGGGTGAACAATCAATGTGGTGTCAATGGGTTAAATCTTACTTGCTTAAAGGCAAGAGCTTTTGGAGGGTTAAAATGCATAGTGCTCCTTCTTGGGTTTGGAGGAAGATTCTTTCCCTTAGACCTATTATTTACCCTCTGATTAAGCACTATGTTAGGAATGGGGAAATGATTTTCTTGTGGTTTGACAACTGGCATCCCCTTGGGTCTCTGTAGGCTAAGTTTGGGGACCATATTATTGATGACTCTGCCCTTGGCATGGAGTCTAAGGTCAAAGATATTGTTGATAATACTAGTTGGAATTGGCTTGCTGCTTCCTCTTAGGCTTTGAAGGAATTGATTGAGAGCACTCCTTCTACTCTCCATCCCAATAATGGCCCAGATTCTGTCAGATGGTTTCCCTCCTCTGATGGGAAATTTTCTATCACTTCTACTTGGAATTATTTGAGAAAGTCTGGGGATAGAATGTCCTGGGCTGCCATTCTCTGGGGGCCCCATAATATCCCCAAGGCTAGTTTGTAACTTGGATGGCAATCTTTGGTAGATTGAATACTGGGGATAGACTAAGATTGTTTGGCATTACTCAATCCTACTGAATGTGTATTTTGCAAGGACTCTTGTGAAAATCACAATCATCTATTTTTTGATTGCCTTTTTTCTTCTAGAATCTGGACTTGTATTCAATCTAAGTTGAATGTCTCTTGGCCTATTCTTCAATGGCCTGATATTACTTAGCTTGTGGCTCTATCT